AGTGGTGTCCGTGGAGACCCACACAAGCCATGAGCCAAAAGGAGCCCGTTCTTTACCAGAGAACAGGATGAGTGAAGACGGGCTGAATAAATACTATTAATTCTCCATTTCTTTGCCGCTGGCAAGCCCGACTTTTAATATCAATTATTGATTGTGATTTTCACTGGAACATTTCAAGCGGCATATGTCACTGAGCTGTAATTATCTGATTGCTGTGCCTTGAGCTGTGGGAATGCATATGGAAGCAGAGCCAAATTAGGGCCCTTCTTCAAACTCCTCTGCTTCAATATAGGCCCCCCAAAAGAGTAAACCATTCAATTTTCTTTCCCAGTGAATGCAATGGCAGGGGTGAATTTGTGATGAGTGAAAATATGTGGATTTAAGGACACTAATGTGTTTTTTTAACTCCACACAAAATATGGCATAATGGACAATTTTGATTGTGGAATGAGTGACAGACTAGGGGGACAGTAACCTCTCCAATCAGTGTGTAAGTGGGATTTTGTCTAGTGACCTTAACTGGAATGACAGGACCTATGCCGGTTTGCAGTGGTAGGGCTTTGTGGGGGAAGCCAGATTATCCAGGCTTCAGCCAATGCCATTATTCTTTCTGCACTAGGAATTGCTGAAAATACCAAAATATTCATCCCCAAGCAATTAGTAACCAGGGAGGGAGACAGTGAAGGAGGGAGGGCTGAGCAGCATAGTGCCTGGCTTCTCACTCCATTTCCTAAGCAGGTGCGTTGTGGGACATTTGCAGAGATATTAACCCTGCATACAGAGTGTGCCTGTCAGTAATTATGGAAATTAGTTGGCAATTAGATAATGTCATTCACTCTCCGCATACAGCTGATAAGCAGCTGAGAGCCACTCCAGCATGTGGCTCAGGCTCTCTTTGTGGGCTGCAGAATGGATAGCTGTGACCTCAGCTGAATGGTGGTGGGTAGGCTTCCCTGCAGCAGGGCTGCCTCCCGTCCTCTGCTTGGGAAGCTGTGCAGTCTGTCAGCCCCATGAGTGGGAAGTTGGAGTAGTGTAAGTGGGGTGCTTCCTCCTGTAGGCCCTGTGTATGTGGGCTGCTGAGCTGCCTGGGCAGCATGCAGGCTCCTCGCTGTTTCCACTCTGGAGAGGGCTGGGGAGGTGTGTGGGCTGCCAGGGTGCTGCACGTAGAGGCAACCTCACTCCTTCAGAGTAACAAGTGTTCAAAGTGCTGTCTCACATGCTGGTATACTGAAGGGCTGAGAACATCCAGACTCGCTGTCTTGCTTTGTGCTGCTAACTCACATTAAGCCTAAAATGTACTATGGTTGTGTTACTTTCCTATGTGAGCAATAGCTGGGGTTGAAACAGGGATGTTGCTGCTTTGTGCTCCGAAAAGGCGGTGACCATCATGAGATCTTTTTCTGTTAGATGTGTTCATTCTGTGGCAAAATTTGAGATCTCCAAAGATGATATATGTAAGAAAATACTATGAGATTCTATAGTTATTGTCCCAAACTGTAATGCATTGCTATGGTAGCAGTGTGCTGCATGAGGCTGCTAAGGTAGTATTTATGCTAAAAATAAAATAGAGCAGAAATGTGTTTGTTCTCAGTGTGCTTAAGAGGATCACTGTGGGAAATGAGGAAGGCACAGGTATGTTTTGTCAGAATTTGCTCTCTCAAGATTCAGATCAAATCCTGGCCAGTGGTAAAAAGGACCCTGGCTCTTCTCTGCATGTATTACTGCTGTGTGGTGGAGTTTACTGTCACAGGCTGAACTGTATAAGACACGGAGCTCAGGTAGCAGAGAGTGCTGTGGGTTGGGCTGGAGGGTTCTGGCAGAGCTCTGGAGGAGTCCTGGCCTTTTGAGTGTCAGCAGTGTTCCCAAAAGCTGATCTGGAATGTCCAAGAGGCGATGAAGTACCCAAAATTACACTTGCATTTCACTATTTTTCATACCGCCTCCCTCTACTGAAACAGGCCTGGGTCCTGTCTTCTTAAGAACAGATAGAGAAGCCTCACTCAGCTGACAGTGCAGTCTCTGTTTAACTGTTTCTTCCTGGTGTAAGTTTCCTTCATTAGCCTTTGTCATCAGCACATGAGCATGTATCCATGTTACAGAAATCTATACAAGGCAGCACTGCTCCCTTTATTGCTCCCTTGAAGTATCCCAAGGACTGAAGCATTGCATGGGGACCTAGACTTGTTTGCATCTGTAAACTGGGATTTTAGCAACACGGGGTTTGAAAAGATAGGCAGGTTTTTTGGTACAGCTGTATTGTGGCCATATAGATTTCTTTTGTGATCATCTCTAGATTACTCACACCTGATGCTGTGATGTACACTGCGTTCCACTGCTTCTCAAAGGGTCAGTCTTTTAAAACAGGGAGAGCAGAGTAGGAAGGCTGAGGGCTGCTTCTGGCGCAGGTGCTGACACCTGCCTGACCAGGAGGACTGAAGCTGCTGTGTGAGATCCCCTGTACAGGGCCCCCGTGGGTGATTGGGGCTGTGCTGGACTTGCCACTTCCTGAGCACAAGCTGAGCACAGAGCTGCCTCATGGAGCAGGGAGTTCCGCTACAGTAAATGTGAGGTAAAGGGAACTGTGAGCTGCTGGGAGCACATCGCTGGCTAATTTACACACATTATTATATTCCTATTCCCATCTCATCAATAATTCCAACTTGGGTCATCACTTTTTCTCTTTCCTCCTGCTTACTCTATTCTCCTTCTCCATAAATCATGGGCTATTTTAGTGGAGCCACTAGGGATCACAGAGGAGAAAGGTAAATGGACAAGAGCCACATACTTTTTCCTCTATTTGATTTTCAAAGCACCCCTAAACCCTCATGAATTGAATCAACATTGCGATTTTTGGGAAAACAGATGATTTGAGCATTTGGATGTGTTTTTTTTTTCTTTCTTCTTTTTTTCCTTTTCTTTTTACACATCTCCTAACACCTCCTTTTTCTTCCTTCCATTCTCCCAAGACAAGCTGTTAACAATTAAAAGGAATTATCTTCCCTCTGGTTTTGACTTGATTTTATTTGTGTTTATAGCAGTTTAGCTAACAAGCTCCACTCAGGCAGCTGCAGGGAGCAGGCCTGCTTTCCACTGGGCACCAAAAGCTGACGTTTCTTTCTAGCTTGAGGGTTTTCTTTTAATTGATCAATTTTCTTTTCTAAGTGACTTGTTTTTCTGTGCTGGCTAAATTTGCCAGATTGACAGCCCTGGAGACTTAAAGCTCCTGCAGGTCCTTAGGGCAGGTAAGGCAGAGGCTGTGACTGCATGACCTATCCTTTCCTTTACCTGGTGATTCTCCTCCAGCTCAACCACTGTACTTACTAGACATTGCTTTTCTGCACTGCCTATTTCTACAGCATCTGTGCGCCAGCACCTCTGGACCAAGGTGAGTGTCAAGCTTGGGAGGCATCTGCCAGGAGCAAGGTCTCCAGCAATTCACATCATTCATATCACTAAACACCTGTCCCAGGCAAATGCTGCCTCACAATACTTTTGACCCAGTTTGTGAAATCTGTGTTCGTGCTGTTTTCTGGGAGGTTGAAGGCCTTGATTCACATCACCTTCTTTCCTGCTTTGTATCTTTGCTAGTGTTAGCTGTTCCCTGAGCTCTTCTTATGCCTGGCCCATCTCTGAGAACAAGTCCCTGTGTTAATATATCCTAGCTTTGTGCTATCATTATTGTAATCTTAAAACATTCTTCTAACCTAGGCATACAGTCACCCACATGTGAATAGACAGAAGTGAATTAAATCCCAGTGCTAACAGGTCTAACTCCTTTTTACTAAAGACAGAAGCTTGCTCTTATCTAGGGGTGAACTTGGCCTTTTTCCAAACAATTAGACCAGGGTAATTGTTTAAGTGCTTAGACGGTTTTTATCATCTAATCTACAAGTTTCCTATCCTCTCAGCTGCAGGTTGCCATATATACTTTGGATAGCACATGTTTCCAGGTTACAAAGGTCCTTGTTAAAGTCCCTGAAGTGTGCAAGACATGTAAAGTAAAAGCAGCTACTGCATAACAGGCTGACAGTGGAATTGTCTTCTCTAATGTTTTCTTGGTGTGCTCGGTAGTCTAACAAAAGGAACAGAAGTGTGGGAAGTTTGGATAATATTCTTTCTTCATCGGTTCTTATATTCTAAAGCATGCTGGTCTTTGCACTGAGTATTTCTACAGAGAGGCAATTTTTAGTGGGGAAGCTTCTGTGCCATCTCTCTCATTAGTCACTGACATTACCTTCATCAAAGGGGTAAAATAATTTGTTGTATTTTTTTTTTTCTTGCATAGAGCAGGGGTGTGTGTAGACGTCTTGGTGTGTTCTCTATCTGATCCTTTTAGTTTTGATGACATAGATGTTCCTAATGCTTTGAAGGACTGTTCAGCTATCTGTAGGCATGAAGAAGAGGTCAGAATATCAAGAAATGTAAAGAAGATACTGGGCTTAATAAGCTTTGTGGTAAAGATATGGTTAGTAGTAGGACCAACCTTTTCTTTTTCTTCTCTTGACTCTGCAGGTCCTGCAAGTTCTCTGAGTGCCAAGTGTTGAATGATGAACTGGAGTGTCACCAGTGCACCATGAAGATTGACTTCACTTTTGCCCTCCCAAGGATCACATACTTTATGAATTCACTTTCTCTTCCATCTTACTGCCACCTCCTTCAGTACTGTCATCACTTCTAGGAAACCAGAATCTGAGGCTTTGGCTTCATCTCTGCCTTTCCTCCCTCCCAGGAACAACCAGTGTCACCTTTGTGTTCTGCTAAAACAAACCTCTGTGGGTTATTTTGCCCTTCACAAAAGTGCACCAGCTGGAGAAGTCGCTTCGTATACCCTGTACATCTGATATCCAGAGATAAAGGCCTCTGGATAATTGAGATCTTTGCTTGGAGAGGACGCATTTCTTCTTGGTCACGTGCCCTTGCTATTTCCCTTTCCAACTGCTCTCCCTCACTCTGTCAGTCTGTGCTCTCCTCTTCCTGCTGGATTTAACAGATTCAGTGTTGACTGCTGGAGTTGTCCTCCCAGTAGTGTGGCTTTTGTTTTTCTCCTGGTGAAAGCAGATTCTTGAAACAATGGGCTTCACTCTCCACTCTGTCTACTTCACTTTGAAGGTGAGTTTGCTGCTTGGCTCCTTGCTGGGTCTCTCTTTGGGTCTGGAGTTCATGGGCATCCCCAACCAGTGGGCCCGCTTCCTCCGCTGGGATGCCAGCACTAGGAGTGAACTCAGCTTCCAGTTCAAGACCAACGTTTCTGCTGGGCTGCTTCTCTACTTTGATGACGGTGGTGTCTGTGACTTCCTCTGTCTGTCTCTTGTTGATGGGCGCATCCAGCTCCAGTTCAGTGTGGACTGTGCAGAGACTACAGTTATCACAGATAAGCAGGTCAACGACAGCAACTGGCACTTCCTGATGGTCAGCCGCAATCACCTTCGGACAGTGCTAGTGCTGGATGGTGAAGCCAAACCAGGTGAGGTGCGTCCACAGCGTCAATATATGAATATTGTCAGTGACCTTTTTGTGGGTGGAGTCCCTTTGGACATCCGTCCTGCCACCTTGACCCTTGATGGTGTTCTGAGTGAGCCTCCATTTCAAGGATTTATTCTGGATCTGAAATATGGCAACTCTGAGCCGCATCTTCTGGACAGTCAAGGAGTCCGACTGGAAATGGAAGGGCTTTGCGCAGAAAACCCTTGTGAAAATGGTGGCACTTGCTTTCTTCTAGATGGTGAGCCACACTGTGACTGCTCAGCTACTGGGTACGTTGGCAAGCTGTGTTCTGAAGGTAAGAAAATTCTTCTATACTTCCCATTGATCTTTATAAAATTCAAAGAGTTTATTTGTCACTCAGCAAGGCTATGACCGAGCTCTTATCCCTGCTGGTGGCTGTCAGAGGAATTAAGGTTCCACTGTTCTTTTTCCAGCTGGGAATAATGAAGTGAGAGTAGATGGAGAGCATGAACAATTGCAAAAGGTGCCTTTTTGAAAAGATGCTACGTTTGTACCATGGGCTGATTTTCTTCAGCAGCTTATTGATGAGGGTGGACAACATGAATTGATATATACAGAAATACTCAGTATTGATGTTGATAAAAGCATTGGTAAGAAATTATCTCAACTATCTGGGTGAATTCAACAACATTTTACCAATGCTGAGTGAATTGTTGGTAAAAATGGGCAATGTGCATATGGCTAACATGATTGATTGACAGGACATTCAAAGGTTAAGCCACCAAAGTTGGTGCAAACTGTTGCTCTCTGTGGAAGCCCTGTACTTCTCTTCAATTTCTTGCATACTAGTTGCTGAATGGCATCTTGATTGTTTTAGCACCCTTGATTAAATTGCTTTGGGAAATGCTGAATTATCTTTTTTAGTATTGCAAAAGGAACAGGGGTTTGAGTGTTTCTACACTGTTCCTTGCTATGTTTGAAAATTTCAGTCCTGAAGTCTTAAGCAAACTGCATAATGAAGAATATTTCAGGGATCTTTCCTTGATCTTTAGCAGTGTCATGGTAATTAACTCTCTATGTGCAAAAGAGTTAAGTAAATTGACTGGAAATCAGTGTGAATTTGAGAATCTCATCTCAGCATTATTTTCTGACATTTGGGTTTAAGCACAACAATTTGAGCTTATGCTGAAGATGAAACTGGGCAAGAAGCATTCAGTCTGAAGAAGAAATAAAACCACTTCGAAATTGTCTTGCTTATCCATTGCTTGACCATTGCTTGACTTCTTTTTGGAATGCAAGTAGATTAACTGGAATTTAGTATGTGGAATTTGAGAAGTGTTGAAAGTAACATCTGTATATTGTTGATATGTAAGCAAAAAGGAAGTCAGTACTCTTACCAAAATACTGTGTAAATACGGCTCTTCTTTTACAGCATAAATAAGGAGGAGCAAGCATGTTTTTACAGGAAGGGAAGGTTTGGAAAACAAACATGACATCTATATATGTGTTAATTTTAAGTGCTATTAATAAGAAAAAAAATTATATCCAAATAAAAGAATAATATACATTACCATTTTATATAACTCATCATTTTTGACTGAAACAGCCATCTTAGAGACAAAGCTTATCGGATTTCTGGGATAATATTAGCTGTATGTGCTATGGAGATCTATAGTGTACTGAAGAAATACCTCCTTCATGCAGCAAATTTTCAAGTACAGTAATAAAATTTGAAGCATTTATTAATAATAAATAATTTTCAGAATGGCTGGTAAGGAACTGTGTACATTGATTTTTTTTTTTTTTTCTCCCCATTTTTGTTCAAGTTTCCAAGTCTTCCAAACTAGACTTGAATTTTTACATTCCACATTTTTTTCCTGTCTTTTTGTTCAGCATTAATCTGGTCCAAACCTGTAGTGAGCCAGAACGGTTTCCTTTGCTTGAACCATGAAGTATGTGGGGCTGGTGAGGCTTCTGGTTGTGACTGAGTACTTGAATAGCTGGGGCCCTGATGCCCAAGTGCAAATTTTGAGTGATGGAAGATCACGAGAGTTGCAGAGGCATGCGGAGCCTGAGTTATACAGATACAAGCCTTTTTCTGCTGCTGAGCTAATGAATCAAGACTTCACAGGTCAAAACATCAACAGAATATGGTTTTCATTGAATGTCTAGAGAAAATACTGTGACTGAGGCTTCCATTTACACCTGTGGGGCAGGTTTGAGCTCCATCCAAGGCTCAGCTGTGGAACTTCTGTATTTCCTGGGAGGGTGGAGCAAGATGAAATCCATCTTCTGTTGAAACCAGGGATATTTCTGTTGTAGGCATCGCAGATCAAGCAGCGCTATTGTTACCTTTTGAAGCCATGCGTCACATTGCTGTTTGTTTCCTGTAATGATTCATCAGTTTTCACCCCAACCTTCTATTAAGGCAGAGCAAAGAAGTTTGTCACGGTGTACCTTTTTTAATAAACACTTTTAACTTGTTCTTAACTGTGGTCTGTTCACATGTAAGATGCTGTGCAGAGAATTTTTTCCAGTGGAAGAAATACCAAGAATTTCCACAAACAATTCCCACCTTGTCCAGTCCTTATTATTATTTTTTTTTTAATTACATTACTTCATGTATGTTTGGTTTATGTTAGAATTTTATAATTAACCTTGTTTTCTGTCTCCTTTGTTCTGCAACACTGGTGATTTATGTGTGTTTAAATGCTGTCACCGTGAAATGTTACAGTGTCTGTGTAAACTGTGAGAAGGGGAAAAACAAAAGTTCAGTGGAAACAAGCAGACAAAGAAAATTGTCGAGAAAACAAAAAATGAACCATGTGAAGTCAAGTTACCTTTTTATCTGACTTTGAAAAACTTCAGAAACTTCAAAGGTGTTGGATTTCCACTGTCCAACTATGGCAGGACTTCCGCTGATGAACAGCAGAACACTGTAGGAACGGCAGGACACGCTCTTCCTACCTGTAGCATGATTAGGCCATTAAGCATCTTGCATATTCTGTGTTTGCTTTGTTCCAAGAGACTGAAGTGTTTGTCACTAAAACTGTTCCCCCCTTTTTGTTTTTTTTTTTTTTAACTTGTTTATTCTGCCTCTGGATATTTGCAGGAATTATTTTCAACATGGCTATTTTTTTTCAATCTTATTTTTGAAAGAGACGTGCCCTTTTAACTGGATATCAACAACTCCCTTTTTGGAGAGGATCCTTAATTCCATTATAGCATTTACTAGTCTGTAGTCTGTGTGTGTATTTTCATTTGGTCACGGGAGTTGGCTCTTTTAGTGGGAACTGATGGGATTCAATCAATAACAACTTCTGCTTGAACAGCTAAATGCAATGTACCTTTTCAATAATGACTTCTCTTGACAGGGTCTAGGCCATTACTTGGCTATCGACTAATACGTATGTTTGCAGATGGTAAAACCACAGCACTCTCATTTATTCTATAGCCAGAAAAATAAAAAATAAAGATTGGAACCTGCTGATCACATACCTTGATAGAATGAATCTCCATTTACAGTATTAGAGGCTATTGTAATGCAAAGTATAGTTACAGTGTACCTCTGTACACTGTAGAGAACAAAATTTTTTCATCATTCCATAATGAGACAAAACATTCTGACCAGAACATGCCCCAGTGTGCAGAAAGCTTTTTAGCACTTACTGTGCATACAGAGTTGCCAGCATTTTCTGTGTCATGATAGCTCATGCCCAGATGGGTATCTGTGCTGGTCATTGCTGGTCAATGAGAAGTACAATTTGTGTATTTGAGTGCATGTGCAAATGTGTGCACACTTCAGAAGACCTATCTGTTTGGAATAAAATGTGATACTATTTTTATTGCAGTTGGAGTAAACAGGTTCATTGAATCTGACAGCTCTGTAGGGTACGAAGGATGGCTGATTTGAGTAGCAATTAATTTGTATGTTTCCGGGCAGTGGTGCCATTAAATATGAAAGTTGAAGTCAGAGACACCTTCCCCTCTAATGAACCTCATCAGTCTCTGTGGGATCAGGCTCCTGCCAAGAGAATGAAGCTCCAGTAGAATGTGAGCAGCACAAATAAATATGTTCATGTCAGTAAAAAACAAAACAAAACAAAACAAAAACCCAACAAAACAAACAAGCCAAAACCAACCAACCAAAAAACAAATCGGGACATTTCCTACACAAATTTTGCAAACAGTGCTGCTAACAGCTCGTTGTGCACGCTGGCTCCTATCTCTCACATCTGCCCGCTCTGGACCACACTGTCATGCTTAGTCTGCTTGAAATTCCCTCCTATGTGGGAGGATTTGAAAGATGAGCTCATTGTAGTAGCATCGGAGGTACAGTTCTTTTGGTCCACGACCTCACCCCTCTTCCTAGCCCCTTCTGGACTTGGAGGGTGAAGGTGAGCAGTAGATGTGCTCAGAAATGGCATTAACTCTGCTTGTAGTTGCAGAACCAAGGCGCGGTGTGATCACTAGCTTCACAAAGCACCACGCTGAAGCCTTTGTGTTGCCTGCAGGGGCTGTTTCTAAACGAAGCCTGAATAGGGTCCTGATTGCACCTCTTCCCTTGATTACAGAGCAAGATTTCCTGGGGATGCTGCCTGCTGAATGACAGAGGAGCCCGTTGCTCTGTAATTATCACTCTTTTAACTGCAGCGGGAACAGATTTTTCAATAGCCCCTCAGCTTCGTTTAAAGAGACAAGTTACTGCAGAATTTATCCTCCACCTGCTCTTCGGAGCAGCCCAGTTTTTGGCTGCATCTAAAGAGACTGCCTTAGCCTTTCTTGTAGTCAGCACACCTCCCTGCCAGCCACTCCGAACTTTGTAACGCTAAGGGCTAATTTGGCACTTTGCCATCAACCTGATGGGTGCACTTAATTTGCATGTGCATTACATATATCATGTAAATCATACATTTTGTAATCAGAAACAAATGGACACGACCATAATATTTGCTTCCACTTGCATATTCTTTGATGGATGAATGTGAATTTGTTGTTGAATTCACCAGCAATAAACAGCTGCAGACCCTTCATTTGGTCTTGTGCTCTGCACTTGAGGACAGCAGGCAGCTCTAGGGCACACTGTGGGGGCCCAGATTTTCAGTGTAAAAGTCTGGAATTTTTGGTCTCGGAGGGCTGTGGAGTAAATGGTGCAAGAGGCAAATCTGCTTGTGCTCCAGCTTGGGTTATTGGGCAGAAAGCTGGTAAAAATTCTGCTCCTGACGTAGTTTTGTAATAGTTTTGTTTTTTCCCCCATCTCTTTCTCTAGCTCACTATTATTAGGTTATGTTCATTTGGTTCTATTTAAAATAATGATTCTTTTTCCAGTCTGGT